GCGGGGAGCCTCGAGGTTGGGGGGGGGAGGGTGAGCACGGCAAGATGCTAGCACTCCAAGCTGGAGATTTTTGGCAGCGTCCGCTCAGGATTTAGCGACATATTTTTTTTTTTTTTTTTTTACTGAATCATAAAAAGCAATTGTTACTTCTACTGTGATGCCATAATTTCTAGGTTTTGTGGCCAAAATTTGGCAGGATCCAGGCACCGGATCTAGGGTTTTTTGGTGTGGTAGTGCCAGGATGTGTCAAGCTTGGGATTTCTGAGGACTTCTCAGAGAAAGTGAGCTTTCTTTTCCCTATGTGTAGTGGCTATACAAGGGCTGTGACCAAAATTCTGCGTTTTATTGATTGCCAAAAATGCACCAGAGCCGATTGTGTGGTTTCATATAGCACCTACACTTGTTCTCTGTTCGGGCACTGAACTCCAGGCATTACAGGAAACGGATGGTAAATTTAGGTATTTGTGACACTGATTTGCTGCGAGACGCAAAGTTTCATATTTTTATGATCTGATGTAGCTCAGCAGTTAGTAGGTAGAGCCCCAAGCTACCAAGTCCAGCTTGATTTTTCTTTGTAGCTAACGGTGTAAAGGCAACTAAAGAAAGCTACTTTTGCATAAGCTGCCTGCAGCAGTATTAAAAATATGCAGGTTACTTCTTCAGCACTGCTTTGTTTTGAAAATTACAGTTGTTTCATTACAGTCTATTCTGCAGTGCATTACTTTTCTCCACAAGTTTTTTTTTTCTCTTTTTCCTTCTTTCTGATCTCACTATTTCTATTCACTTGCCACTTCTCCTGGCCCACCAATTAGGAGGGAAGCATCATGTTCCAACCACTTCTGTCATTCTTGTACATGCTTTTCAGGGAAAATAATTTACCACCAGCAGCCTGCTTTCTGTTCCTTCTGCTTCCATTTCCCCACCCACCCCCAGCAGACCTGGAATCACAGGAGGATGCTGGAAGGTATCCTAAACACCGTAAACTTCAAATAATTCTGCTGTTTGGGGCCAAACCTATGGGTTCCTGCTCCTCTAAGCCACTTCTGCGGTATGATAAATAAAACTCTACCAAATGCTCCAAGTATAAGTGTGGTTCCCTGGATAATGATTCCATCTTTTTCTTCCTTTTACCCGTAGCCACACTGGAGCAGCTGTTGAGCTGGGGGGACTTGAGGGGTGTGTGGGGAAGGATTGGGCTATGGTTAGGTCCGTCTCTGGAGAGCGCATGGCCCCTCTAACGCAATCACTGGCAAGGTTAGCTGCCTTTAGGGCAGCTTGTAAAGTTACCGTCTCCAGCTGTCCAGCCCGTCCTGTGAGCAAATGTCTGAGCCATCCATCAGCCAACTCTCAAAGCGCTCGCACCTACCGTGGCTCTTCTCAGCCAATGTGGGTGACGGTTTCCTCACTTGAAACAAGGCACTAAAAATTGCCGGTGCGTGTGGTCACTAAGACCTTGTCAGTCGGACCCTGTAAATGAACCAGCCCCACCTGAAGTGCGTATAGGGCCTCACACTCGCCAGGTATCCGGTGCCGAAGGTGGGACTCGCACAGCCAGACCCTACCTTGCACTTCCTACGTGTCTTTCGGTGCCCGGCACGGTGCTGCGGTCTTCTTCCCCCGCCACCTCGTGGCCCAGATTTGGCACGCAAGTTTGCTGAGCCGGAGGAGGCTGATGCGTGGCGACGGCCGCGCTCGGCCCTGGCAGTCCAGGAGGAGCCGTGCGGTCAGAGGCATCCTGCGCGAAGACCCCGCGCCGCCCACAGCCGCGCACAGCTGTGCTGCACACCGCGCCGCTTCCCTTCCCCATCTTGGGTCTGGCCCTTTCGCACACGCTGAGGAGGAGAGGAAGAGTAAAGCTGTTTTGAAGCCCTCTTTATCCTCCTCTCTGTTCATCCACTGTGCTGAGTGGTACTCAGGGAAACTTCATTAACTATTAAGAGGTAGATACTTACAGGAAAAAAAACCCGCTATCTACTGGCAACCCACTCCAATATCCCTGTGCAGAAATGCGGCCTTGCACCATCACCCATCACACATGTGTTATCTGTAAAGCAGGAGTGGCCAGAGTCAGTGTTTTGTGGTTTTGCATTTTGGTCAAAAATTCTTGCAATTTTGCTTTGGTTTCTTGATAAAAGTAAGTTTTCATGTTTCAAATACTATTTGCAGAAATTGATACTTTTATTTTAGGTTTTTGGAAAACAATCCTTGTAGAAAACGAAAACATTACTTCAAAAACACATTCTATTTTTAATTGAATATACTGAAAACTTCACGAAACTTATAATAGTTTACAAAATATATTGAATTTATTTTACTAGAAAAATTGTTTTAAAATATTCAGCTCTTCTAATGGCAGTGCTTTAGAAGCAAGATATTTGTTTTATTTTAGAAACAGACATGTTCAATTACACTATAAAGCTGCACTATATACTGAAAATTATATATTATTTCCATTACATAATGACAATGTATATTTCACACACTTATCTAAAAGAGGACAATGAAATATATATTTCTTGCTTGATCGGACACACTATGCAGCTACAAATCATTACTCTAATATAAAAAATAAAAATAAATCCAGACAGGCAAGGCAAAGAGAAGATTTGATAAACACCAGCTTCTCCTGGAAAATGTGAGAAGAATTTAACCACTTTATCAAATAAATAAATAAACCACCATAATACAGAATGATAAAATCAAAATTCAATATGAAAAAAAGAATATGAACTGACTTGGGAATAAGATAGCCAATTACACTAAAAAATGTTTTATACTGAAAAAATAACCCTTTTGGATACCTTTATGAAACTACATTTACGTCAAAGAAAATCTTTCAGAGGAAGGATAGTTACAACTGAAATATAATAGCGAAGTAAATTTTGAAACAACACTAAGTAAAAAAAAAATCCTGTTTTTCTGAAATTATTTAGCCTAATCCTTCCTTTTAGACATTTCTCTATTATATGCAACATAATGATGAGCACAGTATACAAAAAAGGGATACCATAAATCCAAATAACTGTTAAGCAGCAACTTCTAAAGCAGTCTATAGCAAACTCAGTAAAATAATAACTAAGTATCTGACTGGCTACAGTCATGAAAACTATGAAAACCTAACGAGATTCTTCTCTAAGAAATTAAACCTTGATCAGATTTTTAACCTACTGGTGCCAGATCTTTCAGCATATTAGCAATGTTTATTTTATCATGATGCTACGAGCATGCAACAAAGCAGTACATAGCAGCAAAAAGAAAAAGAAAAATGAAAAAGAAATGAACATGGAAAATATTTGCCTGCAGTGTGAATTTTCATAAAACCTTTGATTCAAATGTAACGTCCAGGACTGAACCTTAAATTAAGAAAAGCCGAGTACTAGTGGGAAGACAATACATGACAATTATATCAATATGCTAAACTATCAGAGGTGGGATTAAAAGTAACATGCAAACAAGTATCTTCCAAGAGATAAGGAAAGAAAGCAAAGAGGTAATCTCAGCTTTACTGTTTTTAACATATGGATTAATAACACATTGCAAACATTGGTGACGTAATTAAGAAATAACAATGCAGAAGCCTCCCTAAGTAATTGAATTAAAATGTATGTTTACGTGATAATGAAATGTAGTGCAATTTTCAGGTAAATTTTTGTGTACTAGAAACTTACACTAGCCAGGAAAACAAAAATCAAGATATTCCACAAACAGTGCAAGAAACCAGAAGCCCAAACAAATCCTTTATTACAGAAAGGTGAAAAATGAACCCAGTTTAATTATATTTTCAGTGTTTACAATTAACTAAGACTTGCAACTTAGGGCTGACTGTACAAGCATTAGAAAGGAGAAGGCCTGGCAGCTTTTGCAGTTACAGCACTGGTCCATCTGTTGGAGCAAAGTAACCTCAGTCATTTTCTGGCTCTGCTACTAGCCTGCTGGATAATCCCTGTACGGACAGTCCCTTTTATCTCACTGTTTTTTGTGCATATGACGTGAGATAATAACACTTTCTTTTTTTGAGAAGCAATCTTGAAACTGATTGAAAATGTATTATTATTGATTATCCTAATGCTAGCTGTACCTCGCACATTGAATTGCCCTAGTGTAACTACCTTTACATTGGTGGAAGGCAAAATCATGCTACATATACATGGTCACTTCAATAACAGTTGGTACAAAACTTAGCAGGGTCAACTAGACCCCTTAGTCAATGCTCAGGAAAGAACACTTAGCTCCACATACCATCCCAACCAAAGCAGTAAGTAGTCTTGAAATACCAGAGAACAAGTTAAATGACAGTTTGATTGACTCATATAAATCATTACTATCCAGGCTCAACAACTCTCATTTCCTAGCCAATTGAGCAAATCAAAATAAAATAAAAAAGATACTAGACTAAGACCTATTATAGCAGTATGTGAGTCACTGGAAGAACAAACCGAGGAAAAACATGGAAATGTAAATTGCAATGGGCTCTTGCAAGGTCAGGGGAGTTCCTGGCTTGCTGTCCTCCCAATTACACTCAT